AGCCCACCACGCCCGACAGCGAGCGGCCGGCGCAGGCCCTGCTGAGGGACTACGGTAAGGGGCTCTGCGGGGGACCCTGCTGGGCCGGGCCTCCCCTCCTCCTCCTCTAGGGGTCTGGCTAACACATCAGTGTGCGTGGGTGCTTGGAACCCGGCGTGGATAGCCCCTTTGTTTATTGCCAGTCTGTGCTCAGTTGTGCCCTTGGGGTGGTTGTTTTTTAACCCTACTAAAGGACTCTGTCAGCATTTCAAAAACGAGAGTGTAAAAGCTTATGGAAAAGGTGTTTGCAAACTACTTTAGCTTGTTTCAAGACAGTTTCCATGAACAATAATGGGATAAGTGTAAATTAACTTCATTCATTTTGGTAGCATTCCAAATGCTTACCTGACTTTTGCAGCACCTTTTCTTAAACTGTATTTGAAGAGCATTTGAGGGTTTCCTGTTTTTAAAGAGCAAGTATGCAGAATGCTTGCGATATGTCATTTTTTATAACAAAATAATTTAGTAATTAACTTGTTTGCTGTCCTGTACTGTGCACTTTTGAGTCTTTGTAATAAAATCCATGTTCTTCTGAATCTGTGTGTGTTAAGCTGGCCGAATGACAAGATCCTGGAGTTTCAGTTGCTCCTTTGCTCTTTGTCAGTTTAACTGATGTTGGCCAAGTAAATGTGAGAACAAGTCACCTTTATTATGTTGTAGCCTAGGTGGAGAATTCTGTTCTCACCAACTAAAATTTTTTTATTTCTCTAGTTCTGTAACTGAGCAGGGAGTTTAGCAAGGAAGATTTTGTTATACTCTAGGCATTCATATAAACACATTGGTGCTTAAAAAATTCCCTACAGGATTTGTTTTCTTTGAAATTATTGAAGTGCTAGTTTTCACCAGTGTTTGAATTGTGTGTTTAATTTGTATGGGTTTTCACTGGCAAGTGCTTGTAAAAAAATACCCATTTATTAGGTTAAGAAAAATACTTGACTTGAGTCTTTAAAGCATCACATATATTGAAAGATAATTTAATATATTAATTTGATTGGATTTTTTTAAATTTCCTGTGCACAGAAGGTAAGGATCTAAGAAACTTATGAAAAGGATTCCTGTGTGTCTATGGGATGCTTCAAACAAGAGAGAATTGAAAACAAGATGGGCTATTTTTACAGTTTAAGTCTAGCAGCCACTTGAATCTGCTGCTAGTGTAACTTTGTATTTGGTTATTGAACGTAAATATGATGATTTAAGTTTGGGAAAGATATGCCTTACCTGTCATAGTTCTAATGTCTCTGTAACTAGTCATTAGCAAGTGGGGTTTTTTTATTACATCTATCTATTTCAGTTTTAAAATGTATGTATAGCATTTGAGTTCCTAATATTTTGAAATGAGAATGAGTGATACTAAAAACATTTTCTATTTTAAATTTCAAGCTAGAGGTTCAGGGAAATTAAAGGTCTAAAAAGAGCTGTGGGGTTTCTTTTTCTCCAGGACTGATTCTTTCATTATCTGTATTTAACTAGTACAACATTTGATAAATGCTGTCAAAAGGAATGGGTAACATCTGGCATAGATCCCTGCAGTTACATGCACTCTGTTAGCCCATTACTGATGCCTGAGTACAGGTATTAACAGCTAATCTACGTTACCAATGCCCAAGTATTTTTCTGAGGCTGCCAGACACCACAGCAATTTAAGCACAACAGCAAAACCTGTTGTCTGGCTGTTCTGCTGCTGAAGTGCAGCAGGGTGCTGGGATGATCCAAAATGTACTTTAAAGAATTTTTAAAAATTGGGGTTTTCTAATCTGAATGTATTTGTGGAATGTCTGCTGGTGTACAGGGAGTTAGCCTGTGCAGAAGTGACCAGCTCAGTTTCCAGATTCTGGGTGGTGTACAACTGTGTGTATTGTGGCTGCTTTGGCTTGTGCCTGTGCTGTGCTTATGGTCACTAACGTGCAGTTATTTTCCCTCCCTGTGGCATGTGGTATTGGGGTTATATCCTAGCTCTTCATACAGATACAGCTGCTGGGCTACTGATACGCAGCATTCACCTGGTAACCCAAAGGCTCAACTCCCAGTGGAGGCAGGACATGAGCATCTCTCTGGCTGCACTGGAGCTTCTGTCTGGACTAGCAAAGGTGAGAGGTGAAGTTTTGTGCACTCTGGCCTCTTCTCAAAGGGTGGTTATTGTCCTGTGCCTGTGAAAGACATGCCAAACAGGAGATGTCTGTGTCTGAGTTTGTCAGCAAATGTTCGGTTTGGACACAAGAAAAACCAGTTTGTACTTCACCTTCTCTTGCTGTAAGTCTCTGTGGCTCAAATGGTGTGTGCCATGTCAATGCCTGTGGGCTGGAAGAGAAGCTTAGGGTGCCTTCTCCAGGGACATGTGGCTCTGCTGAATGATTCTGGCTGGTTTTGTTGAGCTGGGTAGGTGGCTCCAAACCTTTCTTATGGATTCCCATGTGTGTCTGATCTGGGGTTTGGGTTTTGTTTCTATCTGATACACCACAGGGGATGCATCTGCCATATTAAGTTGCACAGTTGAGGAAACCTTGCAGCTAAGGTTCCAGTGGCAGTGTAAGGACTTGGGCCATTAGTTTCCAAGCCCTCTGTGAGCCGTTTGTCATAGCCTAGCTTGGCTGAGTGGCCTGTCTGTCCAGTCACTGTGGAACCTGGCACAGAGACAAGGTTTTGTTGCTCTTAGTTGAAAGATTACAAATTGGCCAGGGTATTCAGCAACTTAATTGCCCTTTCTGTCAGCGTCCTACCTGCTCTTCCGCTGCCATCTTATCTTGAAATAGTTTTCTGAGCTGAGATAATGATAGCATGTTTCTAACATGAAGGTGTCACTTTCTTCAGACCTTTATCTGCATAGAGTTCCTTGATTCAACAGCAAACTGAACTAAAGCTTGGGGCAGGAGGGGCAGCCCCCTTTTGTCATTTAGCCCTCAAGCAGAGAAGGGCATTTTACTTCTCATGTCCTGGTGCTGGGCTTCATGACATTTGTTAGCAAAAGTCCAGTATATTTACAGCAGCCACAACAATTGAGTGTGTCCTGTCACATGCCCCTGGGAACTTGACAGATCTCTTTGAAATCCACGTGTCTCAGGCGTTTTTTTAGAGTGTGGAGTCAGGGCTGAGCCATGTTGGACTGGGGGCTTATTTATTGCTACAGCAGCACGACCTGAGGGGTGCATCTGAAAGAGTTCTGCAGTGAGTTAATGTATGTTTATTTGGTCTCATAGAGCATTGTACAGAACCAGGGGCTCCTGCAGCTTGTGTGGTTAAGCCAGTTTGTTGTTTTTTTCTTGGCTTGCAATGAGATGGGAATGGGAAAGTACTAACCTGGGTAGGCATTTGAAAAGGTACTATATTAAATACTGTAATTTTGTATAATTCTCATGCAGCTGAAGTAATTCTTCCTCTGGGGTAAATGGTCTTTCCCCTTCATAACAAAGAGATCACCTCTTGCTGCAGAGTGGAGAACCAATTCAGCTTGTGCCTCTGGATGTGGCAGTTCCCAAAGCCCCTCTTGGGTTAGGGGCTGCCCTGTCTTGTCTCTGTTCAGCACCGAGTTATTAGTGAGACTTGGTAAATTCAAAAATCCTGTTTCCTGCAGGAGTACTGGTTCACCAACCTGCTTTTCATAAGCTCATCTTGAGGGGATTCTACTTGATGTAGATGTTGTGCTTCTGAAGGAGATGCTGCTCTCACCCAAGAGCTCTGAACTGTCGTCCCCCCGTTGTGGAGTGCAGCTGCCTGTCTCCAGTGCCAGCAGCAAGGCCACCCACCTCCTGCTGGCATGAGGGTGCACCTGGGTGCCTACAGCTTCACATGGCATGGGCAAATGCTGCAGAGCAGGGGAATCCAGCTTGGACTGTTCCTGTGCCAAGTCACAGGTGGGGGGAAAAAGAGGAATCAGTTCTTTAGTTTTCTAATGCAGATCTTTGTGCCTCAGCATATGAGGCTCTTCTCTGACCCTCTGGTCTGGAGCCTCATTCCTTGAAGCCCTGAGCAGGGAGAGAAGTTGAGGGGGTTTGCAGCCAGTTTTTGGAGAGGGGCTGTAGTTTCACTTGCCAGTCTGTTTGTCTGAGGATGGGTTTTCTCTCCCTTTGACACTGGTGGAAGTTACTGTCCTGACAAAATACTCCTAGTGGAAAGTTACTTGAGGAGAACAGAGCCTCGTGGAAGGGAGACCTGGCAGTGAGTGGGATCTCAGAGGGACAGAATGAGTTACAGGAGCTGGAGGAGAGAGGCATCTGCTGAGAATACATTGCAGGTTGAATAAATCAGTACTGGAAATTAATTTCTTATCAAACCACATTGGTCCCACTCTTGCCCTTGGAAACCAAGCCGTGCAACGTGGTGGCACCTGAATGCAGCATTTCTTTCCTTAAAATCTCAATATCCATCACCACTAAATACTTCTACACACAGCTTTGAAGCTGTCATCGTAGGAGCTCAACCGTGTTTTTCCCACTTCTTAAAACTGCATTTCAAAGTCCTTTGAAAAGCTGTTTCTTCCCTGGAAGAGCTTGGGGGGGGCTTTCTGACCCTGTCCCTCCCGCCTGGGGCAGGTGAGGGTGGCGGCCGACTGCTCGGAGCGGAGGAGAGCCATCAGCTCAGTGTGCAGCTACATCGTGTTCCAGTGCAGCCGCCCGGCCCCGCTGCACTCCCGCGACCTGCACTCCATGATCGTGGCGGCCTTCCAGTGCCTCTGCGTCTGGCTCACCGAGCACCCCGGCATGCTGGACGAGAAGGTGAGTGCCCTGCCCGGCCTCTCTTCCTGAAACCTGTCAAATCATGTGGCTTTCTTCCTTCCCAGCAGTACGCTAGGAATGTTAAAACTAGTTTCTGTGCAAAATAGTTCTGAATTTTGATTTCTGATCTTTCCTCACCGAGAACATTTTCAGCTTTAAAATTACTTTTCATATTTCTAAGAACGTCTTGATCTTCCTCTTGATTTGTGAAACTGGAGAAAGAGAAGAAAACTTGGAAAAAAAAAAAAAACTGAAAAGAGAAATATGGGACTAAATGGTGTATACATAGCATAGATAGCTCCCTGCTGCAGATAAACTTCATGAAAAGCCATGTCTCTTCTCACCTCTCAGCTCTTGGCTGACTAAGGCATCTTCTAGACACACCAGAATTCCTTCCATGCGAATATTTTGATAACATAGTTCGTGTCACCATGGCAGTGTGTGACTAGGACATGCTGGTTTCCCTGGATGTGGCACAGCATGGCTTTGTTCGGTTGCATAGTGCTTTATTTCACAGAATCAAAGAATTGTTTAGGTTAGAGGAGACCTTTAAAGTTGAGTCCAGCTGTAAACCCAGCACTGGCCAGGCCACCACTAAGTCATGTCCTTAAGTGCCCTATCTGCAGATCTTTTAAATACTTCCAGGGTTGGGGACTCCACCGCTGCCCTGGACAGCTTGTTCCAGGGCTTGGCAAGCCTTTCAGGGAAGAAATTTTTCCTAATATCCAAGTTAAATCTCCCTTGGTACAACTTAAGGCTGTTTCCTTTTGTCCTGTTACTTGTTCCCTGGGAGAAGAGACTGACCCCCACCTGGCTCCACCCTTCTGTCAGGGAGTTGTCAAGAGCAAGGTGGTCTCCCCAGAGTCTCCTTTGCTCCAGGCTGAACACCCCTGGGTCCCTCAGCCACTCCTCACCAGATTTGTGCTCTAGACCCTTCACCAGTTTTGTTGCACTTCTCTGGACACACTACAACATCTTGATGTCATTCTTATTGTGAGAGGCCCAAAACTGAATACAGGGTTTGAGGTGTGGCCTCGCCAGTGCTGGGTATAGGGGTGCAATTCCTGCACTGGTCCTGCTGGCCACACTATTTCTGATACAAGCCAGGATGCCATTGGCCTTCTTGGCCACCTGGGCACACTGCTGCCACATTTTAAGGCAGCTGTTGATCAACACCCCCAGGGCCTTTTTCACTGGCCCGTATCCATGCAGGGGGCTGCTGTGACCCAGGTGCAGGACCCACACTTGCCCTTGTTGAACCTCATCCCTTGGCCTTGGCCCATGGATCTCACCTGGACAGATCCCTCTGTGGAGCCTTCCTGCCCTCAGGCAGATCAACACTTCCACCCAGCTTGGGGTTGTCTGCAGGCTTACTGAGGGTACACTCTTACCTCCTCAGCCAGGTCATGGATTAAGATGCTAAACAGCAGTGGCCCCAGTGCTGAGCCTGGGGGACACCACTTGTGAGCGACCACCAGCTGGGTTTAGCTCCATCCCCCACCTCTCTTTGGGCCCAGCTGTCCAGCCAGTGTTTGACTCAGCAGAGAGGATGGCTGTCCAAGCCATGAGCAGCCAGCTTTTTCAAATTCAGTCAGAATGCTTTCTACCATTAGAATAAATAGACATCTATAGATAGAGAAAATATCATTCCTATAGTAAATGTGACTTTTTTCCACCAGTGTCTGCTAGAATAATCTTCTGCTTTTTTTTCTGAGCTCCTATTACCAGCAGTACTTTATTTTCATGGATGTTGTCACTGTTTCTCTGAGGTCTTGGAGACATTTATCAGGATGCTTGCACTTTAAGGTGGTTGCTCTTGTGTTTTTAGGATTGTTTAAAAGAGGTACTGGAGATTGTGGAGCTGGGCATTTCAGGAAGTAAATCCAAAAACAGTGAACAAGAGGTCAAGTACAAAGGAGATAAGGAGCCAAACCCCGCATCCATGAGGGTGAAGGATGCTGCTGAAGCTACACTAACGTGGTATGTAGTTTGTCAGAGCATGTTTACTGTTCAGCATTGCCTTGTTTATGTGAGGAGTTCCCAGCTGGTGAAATCTCTGTGATGCAGCAAAAGCATTTGAAGAGCCAGCCAGAAGCTCCCTCCATTCTGCCCTTTGGGCAGGGTTGTCCTGTGCTGTGCCTTAGCTGTCCTCCCCCTCTTGTTACAGATGTTCAACAGCAAAAGATCCCCCTGATTGCTGTCTTCCCCTCCTGCCTGCTCTCTTCTTGGAGAGCAAAACCCTCCTGCAGCCCCTAGCACTCAGTTCTTGGCCAGTCCTCTCTGCAGATGGCAGTTCCCTCTATCTCCCACTTGACCTAGAGATCCTGTCTTTTCCCTCCCCCTTCTCCTGATCCTCAGCCTGAGAGTCTAGGCCATCCCCACACTGACTGGGAACCCGACAGGCACTGTCTCGTGTGTACCACAGCAAGGAATGGCCCATGCAGGAGATGTAAACTGGTGCAGATGGGATGTCACTGCCCACAGCACCAGGCTTGCTTGTTGTATTTCAGAGGTTCTGCTGGAAGTGCAGGAATGGATGATGTGTGGGCTGGGGAGGGGAAGCACAGAGAGGAAAGTAAAGCTGTGTTCCAGAGAAGCTGAAAAGCACTGTTTTACTGGATGGAAGAACAGCATCATGGCAGACAGGACAGGTTGGGCATGGGTAGGATAAATGTCTTGTAAAAGGCAATAGCTGCTTTCTCTTCTGCTTTGCTTTGCAATAAAATTGTTATAAACTTTACTGTTTGTAAAAACAACTGTAATTTCTAAGGTAAAAACAATTAGTCACTGGAACTTGTGGACAAATCGTTACTGTTGCCTAAAAGTACCTCTGTTCATTTAGAGAGATGAAACTACCTGTTCTCTAAATACAGTGGAAAAGAAAGTGGGGGGGGGACTTCAATAAACTTGCTTTTGGTCTGGATGGTGGTGTTGAGAGTGAAGTCCTGAGTTAGATCATAGGTCTTCAGTCTGACAGTGGACAACCCTCCTTATTGGTTCCTGACGTAGAAGTTTTCAATTACTGATGAAATCTAGGTAGATCCTGTACAACTTCAGATTATTTCATTTGCTTCAGGGTTCAGGAGCCTCCCAAGGCTGTGGCTCTGAGGAGGCAGGTATTGTTGAACAGACCTGGAGGCTTTCTCCCAGAGAAAGTTGCCATCGATGGTAGTCATGCTTGTGTGATCCTGGGTCTTTCCTAAAAAGGGTTTTAAGTTAATATGGTCTATACTTGAAGAAAGCAAAGACTCTAGTGCACCTGCCATGTCTGCCTTGCCTCTTTGTGTAAGAGTGGACTAAAGTATAGACAATTATCTCCAACCATACATAATTTTCTTGTAAGAATGAACATTTCAAAAGCTGTGGCAGGGTGCAGATTTTTGCGCTTTAAATAGTATCTTAGTACCTTTAGAACCTAGGTTATAAAGAAATCAATTTTGTAGGCAGGGTACCCTTGTTCATAGGTTTTCATGTATATTTTTCTGAATTTACTGGTTCTGTTTTGAGACAAGCTGGTGGGAGAGTGCAGGCTTGTCCTGGCAGGGTAACTGCTGTGTCAAGACCCAAATGAAGAATGTGAGTGGAGGTCTGCTCTTGGGTGGAGCAGTGTGTCATCTTAATCTGTCTTAACTCTTAACTTTTTTTCCTTGCTTGCAGTATTATGCAGTTACTTGGAGCATTTCCTTCTCCCAGTGGCCCTGCCTCTCCTTGCAGCTTGGTGAATGAAGCCACGTTGATTAAATACTCTCGCCTGCCCACCATCAACAAGCACAGCTTCCGGTACTTCGTCCTGGACAACAGCGTCCTCCTGGCCATGCTGGAGCAGCCTCTGGGCAATGAGCAGAGTGAGTGCCTGCTCCCCACTCCCTCCTGCCTCTGCCTGGAGCTCTGTGTGGAGCTGCAAGGCAAAGGCACTTCATCGGGTGTCTCCACATTTCAGGGGCTTACCTGTCTGTGGGTGAGCAGAGATTGTTCTGCGATGAAGTGCTGGGAATGACTTTGGTGCCACTGACAGCTAAGATGCAGAAGTCCATCCCAATTGTTCATGCAGTTGTCTGTCTTTCACCCAGTTAGATCAGGCACTTGCAGCTGCCTGCCATCAGAATTACTGCTGATGGGCAAAAGCAACAGCATCACATCTTGGAAACATCCTTGTTCTTTAAAGAATGAAATATAAAGACTATAGGAGGCTTGATAGGTATAAGTGCTCAACGAATGGTTGATGTGACACCTTTTATGCTCACACATCAGCTTTTCCTTGCTTTAAGTCTCCTGTTAGTAGCTGTTTCTGTTGGTGCTTTCAGCTCAGATGGGTTTAGTTGCTTAGGAGCTATTGTAACTCCTTTATACTGTTCAGTCAATGACACCTACTGTGAAGGAGATCTGTCACACAGTATTTGCTTCACAGCTGAATCTAACCTGTTTCAGCCTAATGCTTTGCCCAGTGAGAATTTATATTTTAAAAGCTGGTATTAAGTTATGTGATGCTTTGAACTGAGTAACTGATCCCCCTGTAAGTCTTCATGTGTCATGGCACTGCCTAACAGAGTAGATGAATGTTCTCTTATGTGCTGCCTTGGTTTAAGACTAACGTAGCTGTGGCAGAGCAGCAGATCTACCACACATTTCCTTAGTCTAGGGGCAGGATGGGGTCTAGATACCAGACCTGAAAACAGCTTGCACAGAACTTCACGAGCTGGCTGGGAGGTGTTGCTGTTTTGAGTTGTGGTGCAGGGTGCTCCAGCCTGACTGGAATCAGGAACCCTGTCGTGCAGAAGTGCTGGTGCTGGGAGCTGGTGCTGCCCGCCCAGCCAGGGGCTGCTGAGCAGCCTGTGCCTGCCCAGAATGGGCTGGAAGTTCTCACCCTTGCTGTGCCTCTGCTAAATGCATTACTGGGGAATCCTGTAAAGCTATTAGATTATCTTGTCTTGCCATGCATAACTTGCTTACAAATCCCCTCTGAATTACAAGATTAATTGCAGGACTGCATGCGTCCATCG